AAGACGACCAGGTCTTTGTAAAGGTGCGCAACCTGCAGCCCCCGAACCCGCGACCGGCACAAGAGGCGAGAGCCCTGCTCGGGCCTCCCCCTTCGTCCTCGTAGGTTCACCTTACGACGACAAACGGCCTCGACTACTTCTACTATAACGTGTTCGACATGGACCCCGATCCCGGCCTCACCATGAAGACGATAGGGTGGATCCAATATGATCAGGGATACAAACTCAAGCACAACGACCCCGCCGCCTTCGAGGCAATCGAGTACATGGCGGGAGTCGAATTCCCCGAACCGCCGCCGCTCCCCCCGCCGGTTTGCACGCCCCCCTTCTCGGCCTGCTCGTTTGGCTCGCCGAGCAATACCGCCGCCGAGCTGGCCAACATCGCGGCGTGGCTGGCGGTCGCCGACAGCTTCTTCGCCATCGATCCAGCGGACCCTGCCACGGTGGCAAACTTCCAAAGCGGGTTCCTCGAGCCGGTTTCTGGCACCCGACGCACTGGGTTCCAAGATGGAGGCTACCATGAGGTCAGCAGCGCCCTCGAGTTCCTCAACACCGTCCTCGCAGAAGTTGGCTGTTACATCGCGGCGTCGGGTTTCTTTGGGCTGAACGTCGACGAGGTGGTTGCGACGGGCGACACGGTGTTCGTCAAGTGGCGTGGCCTCGTAGGACCCATCCCAGCATACCCGAATGGATACGATGGCTACGTGCTCGACGTCGTTCACATGGACCCAGAAGGCTCGGGTCTGATTGTGGGCTTCGATCAATGGCACGACGGTGTCGCAACGGAAGCCTATGCCGATGCTTGCAACTTCGCAGCACCACTCACGGGCCGCCGGCTCGGTGAGGGCAACGCCTACAAGGGGCCCGCCCTCAAGACGCTACTCGGGACCGCCCACAAGGGGTCCGGACCCGCATAGCCAGGCTTGAAGCGCCCTGGGAAGTGGCTGCTTCCCGCACGCCATGTCCTTCTTGGAGCGACAGGCTGCCACGTGTCGAGAGCCACGTGCGCGGGGCCCTGCGGGGCGCGCAAGGGAGGGGGGGGGGGGGGGGGCAAAAATTGGCCCAACAAGCCAATCTCATATCGGGGGCTGGGCCACGGTTATGAAATTCATGAATGGCGGCGGCAACCCTCACTGGGCTGCCCCGAGGCTCCCGGGGCCATCATCGTCTACGACCGCACTCGCGCACACGGGACGGGAAGGGAAAATGGCTAAATGGGCCGATCCGAAAATCCGTAAATCCGTAAATTTGTAACCAAAAAA